AATAGTGAAGCACAAATATTTTTGTTATGCTTAGCATTTTCATAAATCTTTACTGCTTCCAATACGATTATAAATACAGAATTAATTAGAGGAACAAATAGTTGTGTAATTTCAGCTAGTTTTCTGACTACACTTTTTAAAATATCAGAATTAGTGTCTAAAGTATCTGTGTCTTGCATATCATCAATGTCCATTTGTTGCATCTCTTTAACTGTCATTATTGTTATGTACAGTATTATAGTACAGTATGCGAATAAATTTCTAATGCTAATGTTAATAAAAATTACATAATTCTATATATCAAAAATATATCACAATGTCCTGTTTTAAATGCTATAACAGTATCAGTACTGCAGTAAATCTATACATATTGAAAAGTTATTGAAAAGGGGTATAGTAGTACAGTATACCAATAAATTAACCACTTGGAAATGTGCAAGATTATTTTATTCAAATTTGTTCTCTTCAAGAATCATTGATTAACTTGGCTTAAAAGCAGGAAAAGCACTGGCCGAAGTACTATTCTCGATTCTAAAAGATGTTTTAGAGAATACTTCAAAAGATTCTGGTTTATCGATTATAAAGACAAATTGTGTTTTTATTCAAATGAGAATATTATAATTTATAAATTTTTGAATATTTTGATGAGGTTTTGATTGTTGAACTAACTGAACTTGGAGTTTTCATTTTGCAATGAATTTATATCTTTTAAACATTGTATACATAGAATTTCCAACTATTTTAAATAGCTATTCAGTCAAAAGACTATATATAGACTTTAATAGTGATGCTTAAGGCTCATTTCTTTGTTTCAGTAATAATTATTTTTAAAATAACTTTTTGCATATATACTAAATTAATCTTAGAAAACCTTCATATATTAGAATTCCAAATTAAATCTATATTGAAAAGATATAGTATGCGAATAAATTAACTACTCAAAAATTCTCAAGAATATTTATTTAAAATTGTCCTTATTTCACAAATTATTTAATTAACTCCGTGAAAAGTCTATACTGCTTTTAGATTAAGTAAAGATATTAAACAAAGAAATGAAGCTAAAGTATACGAAGGGATTGGATTCGGTTAGTATAATTATATAATATAGTATAATTATATATTCATCAAAGTTAAATGAATAACTTTCCTTTAAATATAGCGGCTTTACTTGATTGAATGATCGATACAAAATATTATACAATATGTTCCATATACTGTACTGTAGTAGGCAGTTGTCTTGAAGTTAGCTTAGAAAAATATAAACACTATGATAAGCTAATTTTGACGCTTTAAGCCTAAATTTGGTATTGTTCTATAATCAATAA